ATTTAAATTATTTACAAGCCGCTCTTTTACAAAGAAAAAGACAAAAGCCTAACTCCAGATGCCCAAAACTGAGGCCATAAAGAAAACTATTAGAATTAAATAAAACTAAAAAGAATTACTTTAAGAAACAATTATATAGCTATGTTGCTCTCGAAATAATACCTTGCCCAATGCTGTGAAAAGCTGTCAAAAGAAAATTAACAACAAATAATAATAATAACTAAAGAAAAACAATTATACGACTATGTTTTCCAAATATAGTTTACCTTGAATCTACTTTAAATAGAAAGCAAAAAACATCAACAGAGAAATATAATCTCACATTTACTAAACAAAATTATTAGTTATGCTATCTAAATACTTACAGCTAGCACAAATTAAAAGCACAAAAATTTGTAGAAAATAAACCTCAAAGAAAATTACCCCAAAAAATATAAATAGCAATAATAAAAATTAATATAATAATAATAATACAAATAAATAATAATAATAATTTAAATACTAACTCATAATATTGCTATTTTATTCAAATATTTAATTCAGCTTTCTTCATTCTTTCAAACTTATAAAAACTACGAAAAAAAAATATAAATTAATCATAAAATACTTAGATTTAATTTGAATTTTAAGGTACGAGTAGATAACCGAAATGTAAATAATTAAATGAAATTAAATTTTAAAAAAATCAAAAATATTAATTACCTATCAAAGATTAAAATGTTTATACAACTTTATCAAAAGTTTAATATTATTAGGTTATAATTATTTTGCTTTAATTATGATTTATGATAATTTTAATATAAAAGCGATCGGTTTTTTCGTGAAATAGCTTAAAGTCAAATTCCGTAAAATTATGATTACTGTTAAAAAAAAAAATGCTCTTACAATAATAAAATAACACTGACATTATTTATTAGGAATTGATTTATTATATATTTATAAAATATCTTACAAATTAAAGACCTCCAGATAATATTCCTTTATTCAATTCCAAAATTATTGAAAAAATAATAAAGAGATTTTCGATAGATTTCTTTTCAAATGCATTGTATTTAAAGTAAAGAGATCTTTAGTAAAGCACATAATCGCAATTCACATTTCGTGATGTCATGGCAAAGTTTAAAAGAAAAGTAAAAAGAAACCCTTAGAAATGTCAATTCATTCTTCAATGGACATAGGTCCACATTATTGATACAGTTTTTCTTGAGATTCATTTTCCCAAGCTGTCTCAATTCTTAGCTAAAAAGCCGTCACATTCAATAATTAAATCTGAAACGCGCTTTGTTCAGATTTGTTCCTTTGAATAAATCTTAAAAAGAAATATATTTTCAGCATTTGCCATGCATGAACGAACAATATAAATCCGAATTCTATAAGCCAAGAGATCATTATTGAAAATTGGAAAGAAAAAAAAAAAACGATTGTTACTCTTGAGTTTGTCAGGGCAAAAGTCAGCTATATAGTCAAAGAAAAAAGAACACCCAGACAAAAACAGAACAAAAAGAAAAGGAAAAAAAATAAAAGAGAGACACATATTGTAGGGTAAGCGTTTGAGGAGCCGTAATCTTAATGCGCCCATTTACCCGTCAGGCTTCCTTATTATAAGTACTTTTCACCTTCGGTTCTTGAGGCCTGTCAGGCAGGGCTGACCGAAGTGGCAAAAAGCAACAACACGAAAAACCAATCCCGTAACCGAAACCCGAAACACGAAAGAAACAGATGCTTCTTCTAACAGGCAGAGATCATAGCCAGAGCCGTGGCAACAACAATGCTGAAACCCTCTGTGAAATCCCAAAGAGTCTGCCCCATGCCACAGCACTGGAAAACGAGCCAACAATCCAGTTTTCAGTTTCTTATTATTATTTTGTTGTTGTTGCTGTCTTTGTTGTTGTTGTTGTTGTTTATTCCTGGGTATCTGGCTGTGCTCAGTTCTTTAGTTTCTGTTCTGGCAGATCTGCAGTTGATTTCGTTCTGGCTGAAGTTTTTCAGAATTTCGTGCTGGGCCACGTCGTCTTTGTTGTTGTTGCTGTTGTTGCTGTGCTTTGTATTTTATTTTTTCTTCACACCTTTAAAAAAGGCAAAGGCACAAATTTTGAACGTCCGACTGGAAATTCAATTCAATTCCCTTGCCACAGGCCGCAGGCCGTCAGAAAAGACGCCAGAGCCGCAGTCGTAGCCGGTTTTTGGTGTTGGTGTCGCGCTTGGTTTTCTCACTTGGCCCGAACACAGTGCATGTGCTGTGCCAGTATGTGTGTGTGTGTGTGTGTGTGAGTGTGTATCTGTGTGTGTCTCTTTCGGCTCTGGAGACTGCAAACTGCGAACTTGGCAGCGCGCAAACTGACAGCCCTTCTGCGCGTTTTTGTAAGTCTTCGCCTGCCAGGATCGTTTTTTCAGCTTTTTTTTCGTTCGTCGTTGCTTTTTTTTTCGTCTTCTTATTTCATCGTTAAGATCTTTTGACAGCCGCATTGCGTTCTTCTTTTTTTTATACCCACTACCCATTGAAAATCTCTAAAGGCGGGTATAATAAAGGCGGAGGCAGCACGCATATACATATATACATAGTCTTACATTTGTTTGGAGGCGGCGATCGCAGATAACTCAGACTTTAGCTAGCAGAGCTACAAGCTTCTAGTTCGGCATTTGGCTGCTTGTTAAGTACGTGCTTATAAAATTTGATTCAAGATAAATATCGATATTTAGACATTAGTTGCGCATAGTTCCAGCTCTAAAACACAATTTGGCATGTAAACTCCCGAATAACCTATACTGATCCGAAATATTGATCAACTTCCTCAAGCTTCACAAAAAATTAATCGAATTTCTCATGCATTAATTAAATTTTTGGTATAAGCATAGTTTTTAATACCATTTTAACGCTGTTAAAATCTTATAACAATCGCACAAGCTATTTTCAAGTTATTCAAGAATGAAAATTTTGACTTTTGGTATAATTTTTTTTTACAAGTTAAAGTTATAAAGGAATGTTTTCTATATTGTAAGCTAGAACGATGCACAAAGAGTGGCTACAGGGTAACTGCTAGTCGAGCACTGTTAATTAGAGCATGCTTAATTTTTGTTATTTTCAACTTGCCCGCATTTTGTAGCTTTTGTTTTGTATATTTCTCTCGCTCTTTTTTGAATGGAGCTCAATTTGACATGCCTGAAGATTTTCTTGAGCCGCTCTAACCAAGAAAACAACAACAGCAAAATATTAAAAAGAGACAAAAATTAAATCGAAAAATTATTGCGCGCTTCGGATTAATTTTGTATGCGCTGCTGGTCATCCCCGTGGCCTGAGGCCAGCAGGCCCACGCCCACGCTCCCGCCTACGGCTTTGCAGCAGCAGCGGCTTCTTTCTTTCTCTCCTTTGAGCTGCATCCGTAAGCGTTATATATGGGCGACATAAATTGCGTACTTACAAGTCAACGTTTATTTCATTTTAGTTCAAGGTGAGTTTCTAAAGCTCTAAAGAAATTGTGTTTATTTGCAGCTCGTTCTTGACAAAAACCCTGGCAAAAATTTCGAAAATAAAATTTTAAAAAAGACGTCCACTTGACATTATCTTAAATTGAGGGCTCGTAAGTCTGGTGGGGCCTTTCAAAGTTGGTTTGTCGCAGCCATAAAATGTGTTTGTCGTTTGTTTTGTTCGGTGCTTATCGTGTGCGCTGTGATAACACGTTTAGTAATAACAAACAGAAATACTAGAGATAAACCAGAACGCTCATAAAATACCCTGTACGTGACTGTCAACTATATAAAAGTTAATAGAGTACAGTATGGTAGGGTTATTTTTAATATTTATGAGTCGGCATGTTTTTAATCACCTTAAATACAGGGTATACAAGTTTGTAGTCACAGTAAGTGAAAGTGTTCGTCCTGCTATACCCTGTACATGGAGTTAAGTCATCAAAATCGATGAATATTTTTATAAGCTTACCTCTTTATACCGCTTACTTTATGTCGCAGTACAGGGTATGAGTGAGTGTCAGTTATAGATCGACTAGAAGATAGGTAAATGCTCTTAATTAATCTTAATTCTCTTATTACAGGGTATACACATGTCTAGCGTTCATTAAATTACAAATGGGAATATTGTTTTAGATCTTGTTAACCCATTGTCTCCTTTTGAGCCCTTAGTTGGCATACCCTACTGGCTATCCCTTACAGGGTATATGCATTTCTAGCCACCGTAAGCAAATTGAATTTGTACAACTCTCATGCAGCTGATGTCACGGGTTATAAAACAGCAACGAATTTCTATGGAATTAGACGAGATATGGAATCAAATATAGGGAAATAGTTGATTTACGGCTTATTCACGCCTATTTCTAGGGAACAAGGCGTTGCCAGTAACAAGCTTTGTTAGAGAGTTGATCCCAATGTATCGTATTTATTTGAAAATAGCTTGGGGTACAAAAAAAATGCCAAGGATTTTTATAATCTTTAAGATTTGTAGACTATTTATATGAAAGAAGCGCACGATGAGATGCTTATGCACGATTTTTAGGCGGATTGAAGTGCACAGATTGATAAAAGAAATCTTTAAGCTTTTAACTACCTTCAAGCTTTATAGAGAGCAAAGATAAACAATGTATCTTCCTTTTAAATAGCCGATATCAGGATGATTTTGAAGAGGATGATTTGTAGACTGCAAAGATTCCAAAGTTCACGTTCAGATTGTGACACATCCCGCTCAACATCGTCTAATGAATCATATATTCAACAGAGCTTAACAAAAAAAAATTCCCACTATTCTTAAAATTGTAACAAGCTTTATAAGAGAGATGATCAAGCTGTATACTATTTTCAAATAACTGTCGGAACAAAGAACTCCGGTTTCTTAAGATCCGATTCAAAGATTCTATAGATTCATTTAACCATTTTTCCGCTACGAAATATCTAGTACATATATTTAAATAATTCAGACTGTGGCACATTCTCTTGTTTGCGCTAACTAAAATTGATATAAAACTCGATTGAAAAAGGAAAGAAACGCAGGATTCTGTAAATCTGAGCCGAAGATTCCTTCTTTTGTTATCAAAAAAAAAAATATATATATATAAATAACTACATTAAGCTTTTTCGAAAAAAATTCACGTTCTCAAAATGTGGCACAACTATTTGAACATTTTTTTTTTAGAATATTTTCTTCTACGCTCGCGGAACATCCCTACGTATTTTTCATGAATTTTCAGCAATACGAGTTTTTCAATTATCAAAAATATATATATAGAAATGCGTGCTTAAGGTCCACGTGCAGCATTTGGAACAATATACTCAGCATCATCGGGCAGATCGTAAAGCTTATAGTATTCCCCATTAATTTCGGTACAGACGCAACGTGAGCCGTTGTTCGGATTGTGTTTACGCTTGTTGGGTCGATTCTGTAGCGGCACGAAGCGCGTCTGCTGCGCTTGCTCCAGTTCTGGCACCTCCGTTAGCTGTTCCACGCGAGCGGTCAAGCGTCTGGTGTACTTGGTTCGCCTTTGCACGCGCAATTGATTATCCAGACGCTGGACCAATTGTGTCTCCACTCGCTTGTTCAGCTCCTGCTCGACATGGCGCTTCCGCTCCTGCATGAGCACCAAACGTGCGCTGCGGCGCGGCTTTATTGGCTGTTCGATGGGTTCTTCATTGGCGGAAGCGTCATCAGACATTATCTACAGTATGGCGATCCTTAATGCTGGGCTCTGTAGTTCCTTATTTTCAATATTTACCGGTTGAAGTAATTTTCCGAAGAAGTTTTTAAAAATCTCGCTCATCTTTTGCTTCTTATCGTGTTGTGATTGTAATTTATACTGACTAAGCCCCGGTTTAAATCTCATAATGTTGCCTTGATGAAGTTAAAAACTCTGGCTATTTGTTTGTATTCCAAATTCTTCCATTAAAAGTCCTTGTGCTTAGAACTCGAAAGTGTTCTATGTATGGATTAAAGTAATGTGTAAATAAATTTAAGATTTCGTAAGGAATTATAATCCCCTTCATCGAGTCAAATGTTTTTGTATATCCATTAAGATATATGCAAATAATTAGCTTTATTTTATGCAACAAAATAGCAATAAATTCCGCTTGGAACGTATAATTAATTCTTTAAAAAAATAATCTATGCATATCCATTTATATATTTATGTGAAGTATATTTAAAATTTGTCGCCGAATTCCAAATGATGTCTCACAGTTTCTAAATATAGTACCCAAGCATGTTCTCATAAGCAGCTGAGATTATCGGATACTAAAAAAATATATATATATTCGTTGGAGGAATACCTCAAGCTTCTATATAAATGGCAAACGGTATAATTATACATATATTTAGATCCATATCGACTATATAAAGACGCAGTCTTTCAACTTTATTAAAATTTCTTACATATTTTTGGTTTTCACATTAAAAACTTTCCAAAATTAGAAAAAAATATAAGTATTATTTAACACATATATATATATATTATATGTACATACTGCAAATTCTTGACTATCCTTAAGAAACTTTCTCTATCTATCTTTCTCTCTCTCCCCCTCTCTCGCTCCCGCCCACATTGCTATCAGCTATTTTGCAATACATATTTCTTTTATCGCACATGCCCAAGGTTAATTCCTTAAGTCCACTCCACCTGACTGGCACACATACCCTACCCGGGAGGGGGTGTATATTTTGGCATATGATATCACACACATATCACAAGCTACCCCTCAGTCTTATCAAGAAGGCAACAACAATAACAATAACACTTTTGTACGCTTTGTTTGTTTGTTATTTATGCGCTTTAGACCAATCAAGCAAAACGGTTTATCATTAAAGCGATAACAACAACAACAACAAAAAAAGACGTTAATTTATTATAAACACATACACACGCGCGTTTTATTTACATACACATGCAAATGTTAACTAATTGTGCAAAAAAAAAAAAAGAAAAAAAAAACATAAATTGAACTTGAAGCAGAGCCTTAAAAGCTTCGCTCATGCCGAACTGCTCTAGCTCCCTTACTTGACGCCCTCTTTGCTGCGCCTTCGTTTTAATAAACCGTTATAAGCGTGCGTGCATGCAGCAACTGCTGTATGCATGTGTGTGAGTGTGTATGTGTGTATTTATGCAGTCCAAAGCATCCAAGCAGAAGGCAATGAAATAAGCCAACAATTATAAAAACTCTTTTTAGTTATTTAATTAGCTAGCCACACCATATAGACGTTGCGGGCGCAGGCGTGAGGGTAGCTGTGGGCAACGGTGGCAGCGTCTCGCGTTCGTATCTAGAGTGGAAAATTAATGGCTACAAAATTAAATTTATTTTTGCAAAAAAAAAACAAAAAACAAAAGCAACAACAACACCGCACGGCAGCGCGACGAGGCAGCCGCTGGCACAGACAGCCTGGCAGGCCGCGCAGTTGCTTTCTTATTGGATTTTGTTGTTAGTGTATATGTGTGTTTTTTTTTTGTTTTTTTTGTATGTGCGTGTGCGTCTGTGTGCAAAATTTATGTTGCTATTTGCGTCGTTGTTGCTGCGCAGCAACTGCGCTGCTCTTATCATGGGTCTGTTCTTGTTGTTGTAGCTGGCACGTTACCTAATTAGTCGCCGCAGACAGCGCGGCAATAGGCAGCGATTTTACCTTTTATGTTGTTATTGTAAGCCATAGACCAATACAAATAAATACACACAGGCACACAAACACACACACATACACAAACACATCTCACATTGACGTAACGTCAACTGCGACAGACAACGCCGACGCTGACTGCGCGCTGTTTCCGTTCTCGTGCCCACGCACCTCGGCACAGATACACAGCAAGAGAAAGAGAGAGGACAGGAGACTGTGCCAGCAGAGCAGCGCAGAGAGGGACAGCGCAGACCACGCGACAAACGCAGCTTCAACTTTGTTGTTGTTTCTTTTGCTGTTCTTGTTGTTAGCGGCTGCTGCTGTCGCTGCTGCTGTGTTGCTTTTGTAGGCAGTGGGTTTTAAAAAAAAAAAATGCACAGTGCTGGGAGAGAGACAAATTGTGGGGTGTAATGGAAACGAGCAAATTTTATGTGCCTTTGAATAGCTGCTTGATCACGGCGAAACGAATCGATTACACTAAAAAGAGAGACATACAAATTAGACATGCAAGATACACACAGACATACATACGTGCACAAACACTTGCATGCTTAAAGTACTAGCATAAGCGTTCACTTTGACAACTGATCAGCTTTGTAGTTGTTGTTGTTGTTGGTTTTTTTTTTACGAACCAGCTTATAAGCAATTAAATTCAATTGATTACATTCGAAGTATAGCCGGATGTGGCGCAGCGGCTTAGTGAGAGCTTGGATATCACCTTTTGACTTGTTATAATGTATGTACATAAAAATGTCAATAACATGGTGTTTACCTTTACTTGAAACCATTGCCAAATACATTTTTATTCAAGAGTTTATTTACAGACAAATTTTAGTTAAAAATTAAAACATATCTTACAAGTAGTTAGCTCTCTCGATTCGGGGCGTCTAAATTCTGATAAATTTCATATTTCCTGCTGTATTTATACTTGAGTAATAATTTTCTACTAAATAAGTATAAATTAGATTGTAATCTCTACGAATTTATTTCTGGTAATTCATTATTTTTGAATGCATTTTTCTGCTACTCTGAAATATTGTTAACAAGTACATACATTTTTTATTTTAAATTTTCTTTTATCTTCGAAATGAACTAGAGAGGCGACTATTGCATACCACTGTAGTAGGTTTTCATCTGCAGTTTTGGCAACGGCAGCTGCAGCTGCTTTGAACTCAACTTCACCTCACCACAGCCCACCTCAACTTATTCCAACTCAAATTACTGCCCGCCCACTGCATGTGCTTTGGCTTATTTTGGTTTTGCTTTGCTTTTTTTTTTGGTATTTTTACGCCAACGACAAACGTCACATACACAGACACACACGCACACACACGCAAATATTGTATATATTTTTATTCATTTGGCAAAGGCAATAAACAACAACAAAAACGACACAAGTAGAAACAACAACAACAAGATAACATTTGGGCGAAGCGTTTTCATCATACTGAAAGACAAAAAAAAAACAAGCAGTGGGCGACAACAACAACAACAATAAGAAATGAACCGAGCCAGCAGAAAAATAATAAAAACAGGCAACAACAAGAAAAATTACCAATTTAAATGTTAAAAAGCAAATCAACAGGCAGCAGGTAAAAATGAAGACCAATAAAAATGCGGCCTCAGGCATTTACTAAGCTCCAAGTAAAAACAAAAAAAAAAAAATGTTACAACAAGAGAAACACATTAAAAATGTTATATAAATTAAAATTAAAACAAAAACTATTTAGTAGTTTACCCCCCTCCCCCTCTCTCTCTCTCGCTCTGCTCTTCGTCTATTTCCACAATCTGCTCTCGAATCGAATGAAAAATGATGTTATTCTTGTGCAGCTAACGATCTTTAACACAGACACATACACACATACACACAGACACACATACATGCATGCATACATGCGTAGTATGCATATGGACATGTCGCATGTGTTTTACCCCCGTCCATTGTATATTTATGTGTGCGGCATTATCATATCATCGCCATCGACAGCTAACAACGTCGACATTTTGTCGTTTTCATAAGAAAACAATACTCGCCCATGCTCCGTACCGTTATCTAATAAATTGTGAGGGAGTTGACGAACACTACAAAAACGAAAAAAAAAACAACAGCAACACTGACAAATCTCGACAAAATCTGCATTTCATTTGCGCATCGTAAATTTTGTTGTTGTCCACCGACAAAAAACAAAAAAAACAGTTCAAAGCTTTCGCTTGTTTACTTATAAAATTGATTGGCGTGGGTTTTGCCCTTACATTGGGTTTTTTTTTCCTCGTATCTTATTTTCTTAAAGAGAGAGAACTTATGCTAATCAATATGCGATTTAGTTAGCGTTTTTTTTTATGCATGCAAATTGATTCAAAATGGCCGCCAGTTTTAAACAACTACGAAAATTAGTAAACCGAACGTCGCTGATTGGTGTGTGAAAATTTTGGCTAAAAAAACAACAAAAAAAAAATACACACAGACTAATTTATATGTGAAATAGTAAAAAACAACGTGTCGTTCTTTATTTGCTTCCCTTTTTCTTTTTTTTTTTTTTTGCATCTCGAAATATTGATCGATAGACAGCAAGCGTTTGCAAACTGTCATCGATTCTGACTATTGATCGATAGTTTTATTAAAAGCGTGTCAAAGGCGTTGGATAATATTTTATTTCTTCGAGGAAACATGTTGTCAAATCAGCTGAAAGCAACAAATTATAGCCACAAATTGTTGTGATTTATGAATATTGATTGCTTTTAAGCACAGTTTAATATTATTAATTTGGCTGAGCAGAGATTAATGTAAAGCTTAGAGTTGGGTTTAGCTTAGAATATGTCTTAAAATGCGCCTCCTTTTATGGGCAGAGTTAAATTTATAATCTTTAGTTTTGATTGGATTTTAGGTTAGCTTGGGTTAGGTTGAGCTGGGACTCTGTCAACTAGATAACCGGGGCATTGTCGGGTTTTTCATTAGGTTAGTTTCTTTAATGCTCTGCTTATCGGAATATACAAAGTAAACAGCTTGTTTTTTGCTTTTCGGAAAACTTGGTCAATTTTCCAAGTCAAGCACTTGCCGCAATCAATTCAAATATTTACCATTAACAAGCTTTTCAACATAACTGCTCAATAAATTTCATATGTACTATGGGCCTTAAAAAAAAAAAAAAAAAAGAAAAATAAAAATAAAATTGATTTCCTCTGTAGATACCGACGCCTCAACGATCGTAGACAGTGCA